GGCGAGTGAAAATATATCTGTGCTAAACTTATACTCAGCCTCCAACTCACACACTGGCGAGTAAAATCTGAGAATTTATTAGCCAGTGGCTAATATTAGACATCATTTAGTCACCCAGAGTGAAGATTTAGTCGCATATGCGAGTGATTTACTTGCAATGTAGAGGGTTGAATTCATATATATGTTTAAGTATATACACTATAAAATTAAAATACATTTCTTTTGAATGTATAGCATATTTTTAAAATTCAGATTTTAAGAATTGGATCTTTTTCTATTTATGAGTTGGACTTTGCATTCAATCGTCCACAGCTCCACAAGCTGTTGAAATAGAATAACAGGAAGAGGAATTAACTGAAGTGCAATTCAAAGAAATTGAATACAACATATATGTAAAATATATATATAATATGAAGTATTAAGTTCGTTTTAACAAAACTAAATGTTTGCTCACCTTTTGTGTGCTGAGTTTCTTTTCCCCTCCTATGGAAAGTCCCGCCCCTTTGCTTTCTTTCCAGGGATAGAAACCGGAATGTGGGGAAGTGGGGAGCCGTTGGGGTTTGGAGGGTGGAGAGGAGCCACTGCTCTTGCGTTTCTTCCCCAAACCCTTTTGATCAAAGCTAGCCACCCTGCCATGCAGTCCTGAGTCCACTCCTCGGCTGTGTGGGGCAGAGTCGGGGGGCGAATGGTGGGCCGGGAGGTGAGTCCTCTTAAAGGCCCACAAGGATGGCGTGTGGGGATCAGAGGGCGCGAGCTGGGGACGTGGCCTGCTTCCCGGCGAAAGCGAGCCGTTGGTTTGTCCGTGAGAGGCTGACGGCGGTGTTTTGCTGATGAGGGGCCGCACCTTGTTCTGAGAAACGAAATTCTTGTCCGGGCTGACAGTGTCCGACTCGCCGTAAGAGGCTTTCCGTTTGCGCAGTGCAGCGGCATCCGGCGTGGTTGTCCGCTCTGCTTCCCTGAGACGCAGCTGCTGTTTGGTGGTGCGCCCAGTCGAGTTCTTGGGCCGACCGGGGCCTGATTGAGCGGGAGCTCGACCGAGTTTAGATGGGGGAGCTGTGGACTGGCCACCCCCAGAGTTCTCCGACTGACCGTAAGCCTTGCTGGTCGGGGA